AGGTCACAAGAGAGATCCAGGTGACGAAGGCCCTCCAGCCCATTTGATCTCATCCTTGCAGAACATCCGCCCTACCGTCTCCTATCACAGCATCGAGCTGCTTTTTAAATGAATTCCAGTGACCTGGCCTCAACCACCCTTCCTGGTAACCCTGTTCATGTTATTATCTAGATCATGGGTAAAAAAATAGTCCCTTGTGTCTGATCTAAAATTTCCCTTTAGATCTCTAAAACTTGTTCTACTGGCTTGGAACATCCTGAATATGGTTGGAACAATACGGGTTTACTTTCTCAATCTGTAGAGTTCGGACTCCTGTAGTTTAGTGGTTAGCTCACTCGTCTCACAAGTGAGACCTGGGTTTGAATCCTGGGCGGGGTGAAATTTTAGGCAAGTTTCCTTACTCCACACACCTCTGGTACCTAGCAATAAGTAGGTTGTCAGTGAAGTTTCCGTGAAGTGCTTTGAGACATCTCGATGCTGTGAAAAGGCACTATATCAACTGTAAGGATTATTATTATAATCCCATTTAGAATGTTCTAAGCTATCACACACGTGGCGTGTGAGTGTGCGATTCACAGATTACTGATCAATTCATTTCCATCACAGCAAGTCTGATAAAGTGAAAAGAGGCTTGAAGACAGGCTGCATTTTTTGCATTCACTTTGCTCTCTATTCTTATTTTATCTCCTAACCCCCATGAAATAGTTTGAATTTGCAGCAACCTAGGAATGCAGAATATCTGAAGCTTCCAGAGGTACATGTTTGCGTCTCTCATCCCCTTAATCCACATTCTTGCTTTTAGCTGGTTAAACTCCACGACTGTTTGTGGGACGCTCCTGTGTGCAATTGGCTGCCGTGTTTCTCCCACAAAATACACAGTCAATTCACTTTACAGCATACTCTGTGAAGCACTTTGGGACGTCCTCCCGACGTGAAAAGCGCTATATCAAATGCAAGGATTATTATTATTATTATCTCAATGAGGTGATAAGGTGCAATGTCAAATGCAAGGATTACTATGACTTGGTGCTTGAATCCACAATGTCCTGACTCAAAAGGCGAAAGTGCTATCAAATGAGCCAGGCTGACACATAGTAATACATTCTATATCCAGCTCCTATTTGAATTTGCTGACGCAATCAATAAACAATAAAAGGTCTTCCTCTTTTCTCTCTCAGTTCCTATTTCAATCTTTCTTTCCACCCCTCCTTTTTTCTGACAGTAAGAATTTTTAAAATCAAAAGTTGCCCATTCCAATTTTTGCATTACTCCCACAAAATACTCAGTCAATTCCCTTTGCAGTATACCGTGTGAAGCACTTTGAGACATCTCAATGACATTATAAAGTGCTAGATCAAATGGACAGATTATTATTATTATTTCGTCAATCCAGGATGGATCTCCAGACAGATGAGGCAGAATGGCTGAAAGTTCGCCCACACATGATGGGGCAGATAGGGCATAGACACCTGCCAGACAGAGAGAATTTTAAAATGATTGAACTTTGTCAATCATACTTGTGGGGAGAGGTCATGTTTATCTGTGATGCCCTATACATTTGAATGACCTGCCAACACCCATTGCCAAAGGCTCACACGGGGACAGTAGCACAGGGTGGGGACAGGAGGGCAACAAGCCTCCATGGAACCACTTCCCAGCAGAGTCCAGACCAGGGGCAGGAAAGCATGTGCCAGTGGGGAGAAAATAGGGGCTCTGTTGGTGTGTCGTCATCCCTCCCCCTCTCCACCACCCCCCCCCCCCACCACCAAATAAGCCACCCAGTTTTTGATAAAGAAGAAATTAATTTTAAAAATTGCAGCAAACTAATATGTGTTATTTCCTCAAGTTTAGTTTGCATCAATAAAGTGAAACATTGTAGATTGGCAGTAAAATGTACCTCCATAGCAGCAATTAATGGCAAGTCATTTTCCTTCAAAATTTGCCAAATTTCCCAGCAATTTTGGTCAAACGATTCCGCACTTTTCCCAGTTTATAACCTACCTGTTCAACTGTGTCTAATGGTCACCTCCCCGGTCCCCCTGACTTGCTCAGCATCCGACTCCTTCACTGTGAAGCGCTCGGTTGTTGATGTCTTTATTTACATGTTCAGCAGCTTGTAATACATCAATCCTGCCAGGACAGACTGGGAGGGTGGCCGGAGTCTGGATAGTGAGTGGCTTTGCGGACAGAATGAATTCCTCGTCCCTGGGAAGCAAATGGTGTGCAACGAGACAGCTGTGAAAAAGAAACCCACCGAGCTTGATCCAGGGGTGCTCCTGACTTTGCTTGTGTGAGTTTGCTTGTGTGAGTTTGCTTGTGTGCCTCACAGTAATGGGAAAAAAGAAATCAATCTACGTTTTCTAACATGGTGTGGTGGGGTTGGTGGTGGTGGTGGGGAGGGCAAAGATAACTGAAGGAGGAAAGGGTCGGAGGCTCTCTGTGATGCATTTACAGAGATGGGGGTGGGGGGAACAGGTACAAGGCCTTCGATGGTGAAAAGAAAAGTCAAGTCGGTAAGGGAACGCAAGTAGGTTTGCAGCGAGACAAAGAACATTGGATACTCTCCAGCTAATGTAACATCCCACATTGTCACCGCTCCACTCTTTTAACCTGGCTATAATTCAATAGGAAATATTCAACATGCAACTGGTGCCAGTTTTTTTTTAGCCAAGTGGCTGGGAATTATTTCAAAGGCTGGAAAGCGAGCAGCTTCTGCTTTTCCTTACAGCGCTCTTTGTCTCTTGAGTCTGAAGGTTATAGGTTCAAGCCCTAAATCGGAACTTGAAATCCCATAATCTACGCTGACAGTGTCAGAGGTGCTGTCCTTCAGATGAGACGTTAAAGCCAAGCTCCCGTCTGCCTGTTAAAGATTCCATGGCATAGTTCGAATAGACAAGAGAGTTTCTCTCTCCCGGTGTCCTGACCAACAATCCCCCAAGTAAAGTTGGTCATTTTGCCACAAACAGCTGTGGAGTGAGTGACCAGTTTTATTTTGGGGAATTGTTGTCCAGGGATACCGGGAGAGAGAAACTCCCTTCACTTTTCAAAAAGGGCCGCGGGTTCTTTAACATTCGCCTAATCTGGCTAATGGGGCCTTGGTTTAATGTCTCATCCGAAAGACATCGTGTCTGACAATGAAACCCTCCCACACCCAGGACTGCATTGGAGTGTCAGCTTCGATTGTGTGATTCCAAGTCTTTCTTCCTTTGAGATCTTGGGGTCAGGCTGGCTCAGTTGCTAGCCCTCTCGCCTCTGATTTGCAGGTTGTCTGGGCATCGTGGCTAATCTGGCTCTTTTAAAGAGCTAACCATTCGCAACCTTGTGGTTACATAATGTAAGCGTTCACCTGAACTCCCTCTGCGCTGTATTTACAAAATGAGTCAGAGATAACTCAGCCATAGGACAGATTTACACCTGCGCCCCATTCCCACTTTAAACTAATGATGCTATCTAATTTGTAATCACAACGTGGATTACAGCGGCCCTGGTGATTGCGCAGTTAAAAAGGGATAATTGTTTTCACAGCACAAAAAAAATTCTATTTCTAAATTAAATATTCAGCATTACCCAAGCTTAAAATTATCCTGACCACCTTTGGAAAGCACTCAAACCTGTACCATAAACACAGCTAATTTGTGCACAAAGATATTTACTAGGATGACGTTGAATGGTTTGGCCCATGAACAGCAACTGGAAGAACTGAGACATTTTCCAATGGAACAAAGCAGGTGGCAGGGCGACCTGATCGAGGTCTTTAACATTAGGGGAGGTTTTCATAATAATTAATAATAATAATCCTTGCATTTGATGTAACACCTTATCAGATTGTCAAGGCATCTCAAAGTGGTTTACAGGATATACAGTAATTACTGCTAAGTATAATAACTGTGTATTCATAGAAGAACAGAGCAGCCAATTTTTGTCAGCCTGTGTCACTCTGTGGTGATAAAGTGCTATATCAAATGCAAGACATATAATTAATATTATATCTTATTAATATTAATAACAATAATTATAATGATACTTGCATTTGATACAACTCTTTATCATATTGAGAGGACATCTCAAAGTGCTTCACAGAATTATAGTGTAAAGTGTAGTGACTGTATTTGTAGGCCAACCTGGCAGCCAATTTGCACTCAGCAACATGCCAGCAATGGCCCCATGAAGTGAATGACTAATTTTACCCGGGGGGCTGTCAGCCAGGACAGGACCGGGAGAAACTCATTCCTCTTTTCGAATAGTGTCATCGGATATTCAACAGCCACCTGAACAGGCACCAATGGGACCACTTTTCATCCAAACAATGGCACCTTTGATAATACAACGCTCCCCAGCATTTTAAACTACTGGATGAAACTAAAGTTGGGTTTGAACCCACAAAGGTCTGACTCAGAGGCAAAGTGCTACCGACTGAGCCAGACTGACACCTAAATATCTACCTGAACAGATACACAGTCGCTCCATTTCACAGTAAATCCTATGAAGTGCTTTGAGACATTCTTCCGACATGATAATTGGCTGTACCAAATGTAAGCATTATTATTAATAATATTGACCTGAGGGAAAGAGTGTGACCAACAGAGCCCCGCTGACAACTCCAGCCTCTCACATCCTTGTTCTGAGTATTTCTCTCATCAATTGCAAACCTCCTTGGCAAGTAGCTGAGGGGCGTTATAATAATAATAATAATCCTTACATTTTATATAATAATAATAATCCTTGCATTTGATATAGCGCTTTTCACGTCGGGAGGACGTCCCAAAGCGCTTCACAGAATACACTGTAAAGTGAATTGACTGTATATTTGTGGGCGAACGCAGCAGCCAATTGCGCACAGCAATGTCCCACAAACAGTCGTGGATTGAGTGACCAAATTATTTTTATTTTGAAGGAATCATTACCCTCAGAAAGGCAATTCACCAATCGACTAACAACCAAGTTCCTACTTACTGGTCGGTAAACAGAGGTGTGTGGAGTAAGGAAACTTGCCCAACGTTTCGCCCTACTGGGAATCAAACCCAGATCCGCTAGCTTGTAAGGCAAGTGCTCTAACCACTAAGCTACAGGACTCCAGTATTATTGCCAAAGAGATCAGTCGATGGGAAGGAACTAAGCAACAAATGCAGATGCAATCCGCTTTGCAGCATAAGGAGAGAAAGGACTGGCACAGACACAAAGCAGTAATTGAAGAAGGGAGCTTTGAAGTTCTGAACTGCGGAAGCGAAGAGTGAATGATCAGTTCCCGTTAATCCTGACACTGCTGGGAAAAAGCAGAGTTTCTCCTGGCCGACAATCCCCAGTTAAAATTGGTCAAAAACAACAATACCAACTTGCATTTATATAGTCCAAATTAGCTGACAAGTTCACTTACAAAACACACAGTCACTCTACAGTAAAATCCTGTGAAGCACCTTGAGACAATAGCAACAAATTGCACTTATATAGCACCTTTTACATCGGGAGTCCTGGAACCTATAAGTTAGAGCACTCACCTCGCAAGCAAGAGGTGCTGGGTTCAATTCCTGGGCAGGGTGGAACCTTAGGCAAGTTTCCTTACTTCACACGACTCTGTTTACCTAGCAGTAAGTAGGAACCCAGTTGTTAATCGATTGGCGGATCGCTTTTCGGCAATAATAATCCCTTCAAAAAAAATAAAGAAAGAATAATTTGGTCATTCAATCTACGAATGTTTGTGTGACATTGGTGCTTGCAATTGGCTGCCACGTATTGCCCACAAAGTACACAGTCATTCTACTTTACACTATATTCTATGAAGCGTCTCAATGACGTGGTAAGGCAACTATATCAAAATGCAAGGATTATTATTATTGTAAATGTCTAAGTGGTTCCTTGACTAAATCCTTGGGGCTGCTTCTCTCTTGCCCAAGAGCCTGTGACACCAAATCATTCCTTGTACCTAGTACATTGCCCCTCACTGATGCCGAGCACAAATCTACCCTGAGCCTTTCAATGGCAGCAAAGAGCTGAGCAGTTCATTCAGGAATGTGCTAATGACACCACATGGCTCTCATGGTCATAAATTCCTTCTGATTCAAGTTGCTGAAAGTGTAAAAAAATATTTTCTCCACTGCAGTGCAAAAGTGTCTTGAATAGGATCTCACCCTCCTTTTGTACTGTAGCATAAATGAGCAAGTTACATAACCAAAAGCCTTGAAATGGTTCAGTGAACCATTCAGAAATATTCACACACACAGTGGGTACACTCACGGCAGCTCCAGGCACTAGGGGAGGAAGGTGTACAGAACTTGAGAGGATTTTGGTCAGCTGGGTGTCTGACAAAAGAGTTACACAGAACGTTACAGGACGGAAACAAGCCATTCTGGTCCGTGCCGGTGTTTATACTCCACAGACACCTCCATCCCTCCTATTCCCCTACTCCACTCCCCTCTGCCCTGTCCCTCATGTAAATTCCCTCTGAAATGTGAGCAAGGTGGATCACTAAGGGGGATTAGAAGATAATATCCTCATACAGGAGTTCAAAGGATGTAAATAAGCAGAAGAGCAAAGCTCAAGCGATTTATATCTATCTAATAACTGGAAAAGCACTCCGAGACATTACTCTACGTGAAGGGCGATATATATAAATCCAAGTTGTTGTTTCCTGAGTTGCAAAGTAAGGTTATAGACTTGAAATCCTTCTGCACATTCATTACTTTATGCAATATAGATGCCGTGGGCAGTTGTACCCCAATTTGTGTTTTATCCATGCTCTTATAGTATGACTAATAATAATCCTTGCATTTGATACAGTGCCTTTTAACATCATTGAGATTTCTCAAACCACTGTAAACTGTATACTGTAAAGTGAATTGACTGCGCATTTTGTTAGCAAAACGCAGCAGCCAATTATGCACAGCAAAGTCCCACAAACAGCCATGGAGTGAGTGATCAATTTTGTATTTGGGGGATTGTTGTCCAGGACATCAGGAAAGAGAAACTCACTTCTCTTTTTGAATAGTGCCTTGGGATCTTTAACATCCACCTGAAGAGGCATCCCAGTCCTCGGTTTAATGTCTCATCTGAATGATGGTACTTCCGACAATGCAACACCCCCAGCACTGTATTGGAGTATCAGCTTAGACTGTATGATTCCAAGCCCTATCGCAGGGCTTGAACCCACAACCTTCTGACTCAGAGGCGCATGCACTACCACTGACCAAGATGACACACACTGATAGCCAGGAAATTCTCTATAGCTGACGCACAATGACAGCCACGATAGAGCATTTAGACTGAAAATCATCCAATGTTTACTGAAGATGATAACAACCCCTTATCACATTGTTGAGATGGCTCAAACCCATTCATAGGATTTATTGTGATGTGTATTGATTGTGTATTTGTAGGCAAACCTGGCAGCCAAATTGCACGCAGGAATGTTCCACAAACAGACATGGAGTGAGTGACCAATTTTATTTGGGGGATTATTGTCCAGGACACCATGAGAGAGAAACTCCTTTCTCTTTTCAAATAGCACCATGGGATCTGTAACTTCAGATTAACATTTAATCCTTAAAACGGTACCCGTGACAATGCAATCAAAGAAAGAGGATTTTCATCAGCTTTTGAACGAGCAGCAAGGAGAAAGCAAGGTGGTGAGATGGAGAGATTGGGGAGGGGTGGGAGGAAGATGGATGAAAGTTTGCCCAACAATGGAATAGCATAGTGGGCAGGGGACACGGAGCAGGCCAGAATTAGCAGAGGGGCAGTGGGTCTGGGGCAAGACTGCAGAGGTAGAGTGGATCAAGTGAATGGCAGGGTCTGAAAGCAAGAACAAGGATCTACTATGGGGACAGGGAATGAGTGGAGCCTGGCTAGACAGGGCTGATGGGTCGTGGGGTCTAGTGTGAGAGAAGAGATGGGTTCAGCACTGCTTGTAGGTTCTGAGGTCCTCTCTGCAAATCTTAAGCTAATCTGATCTCCTGGTAAAATGTGTGTCAACTCGTTCATCTCACTTGTGCCAGAAAGCAACCGAGATGTGACGGAACCAGAACAGGTGCCAGGCAAGAGCTGAGCAGATTGTTCAACAATCATGTACTGGGGTCTTGGCAGCAGGAAGCAGACCATAAAACAGAGTTCACCGTTGAACAGAGATAAGCAATCACATTCAATGCCAGGATTCCGTGATTGGACTCAAAGGTTCATGCAAGTATTGGCAATATTCACTACCAAGGTTCAAAGGGATTCTTTAAATGAGTAACACGTTGTTTAATGGTGACGCTCAGACACGGATTATAAAAACAGTAAATTATTCTGAGATAGGACGTCCGGAGAGAGAAAGGACAGAGATTATATTTCCATCTCTAATTTAGGCAAGTTTCCTTACTTAACATGCTTCTGTTTATCTAGTAATAAATAGGAACCCGGTTTTTAATGCGATTGGCAGATCACTTTCCGGGGGTAATAATCCCTAAAAAAAATCTCAATCCATGATTGATTGTGAGACACTTCTGTGTGCAATTGGCTGCTGCATCTCACCCACAAAATACACAGTCAATACACTTTACAATATATTTGTGAAGCGCATTGAGATGTCTGAACAAGATAATAAGGAGCTATATAATATTAATAATAATAATAATCCTTGCATTTGATATAGCGCATAATCACGTCATTGAAACGTCTCAAAGTGCTTCACAGAAAACATTGTCAAGTGGATTGACCGTGTATTTTGTGGGCGAAAATAACATATCAATAGCAAAGCTTATTATTATTATTATTATTATTAACTGTTGGCTCATGCAGTTTACGGTAAATCCTGTGAAAGCTGTTTGAAACTTCCTTCTGATGTGAAAGGCATTGTATCAAGTGCAAGGATAATGATTATTATGAATGATTTTCATACATCACACTTTTTCGGTCTTAAAGGAACAGTAATTTTGTTGATAAACATAGACACAGACTGAACTGAACATAGGTCATTTAGACATGGACGCCAGTGTGCTCAGAATTCTAGAGAAGCTATTATAAAGCTGCATAAGCAGAGACGTGAATTACAGCCAGGCCAGGCTATCATATCTCAGACCATCTAATTTTAGAAAGGCACTGAACTGGCATTCCCTATTTTATATATCATTGAACTAACAGCTGAACCTTATCCATTCAACACACATCGACACGCTTCCACCGACACTGATCTCCAGGGAGAAGTCGAACACCGTTCCATTTACCCTTCACCTGAGACCACCCCTAACCCCCAACCCCAACCCGAGACCACCCCTAACCCCAATCTCAACCTTTAACTCCAACCCCCACCCCCACGCTAACCAGGATCAATTATATACGACTCCAGCAAACACAAGACGCTTCCAGAATCTAAAATCAATCCCAATCCGTAACCCTAACCCCAACCTCACACCATCAGCTGACTCAGCACCCAGCAGGATTTGAAGCTGGTACCTCCTGCTCTGTATGTCTCAGTGTTGTATCGAGTGTCTTAATATGTCAGGTCATTAGGGAGGTGGGGGGGGTAGGGTCAAACATACTAATACTTATTATTATTATTATGTTATTATAGTTTAAGTCACTGTGGAGAGGTTGTTTCTAAGTGGTTTTCAGTGATGGTCAGCCAGACCAATAACACTGCCACGTTACATATGTTACTTTTCTTAGTCTGTTTGAACGCCCTAAAATATCTACATTTTGCAGGAGGTTGATATTTTGTTTGCCAGGTATTTTGTCAAGCCATTTCTGAATAGTCTTATGAATTGTCCCAGTTGCACCGATGATTATAGGAACCATGTTTCTTTTACATTGCCGCATACATCTGCATTCAATTTGTAGATTGATGTATTTGCTGATCTCTAGTTCCTTATTTCTTATATTGTTATTATTGGCATTATTATTACATAGCTAACGTCCTTCTTGAATTTGATGCCATTGATATTATCAGCTCCGAGGGTAGGCTGATCTCTTCCCTTTCATTTTCTCAGTTCCATTTTCTCCCTTTCTGTTTCGTGTTCTTTCTTGTTCAGTTGTGTCTTTTAAGTATTGTGGTAATCTGACAGTGAAAGAAATGGGGTGTATTGCCAGCCCAATTCAAAATCAAT